TTCTCTTAACTTCAATCACACAAAAATGGCAAGAAAAGCTTAAGAATACTCAAAGGCTGCTAGGGTTTCGATAATGAGGAATGGAGGTAATGGAGGCTGGAATGGGGGCCTGTAATGTTGCTTAAATAGGGTGCAAACCCTAAATATTAGGGTTTCCCACTGGCAGTCCTACTCGTCGAGTTCATGCTTGGACTCGCCGAGTAGACTCTTTAAATCCCACGTCTTTTCTGCCATCTACTCGACGAGTTAGGGCTACCAACTCGTCGAGTATCTCAATTATATTTTTGAATAGTTTCAATAATTGCGTAACTGGAACGGGGCGTTACAAGATGTTGCAGTTATGTGTATACAAATGTAAGTCCACTGTTGCTATGGGTAAAAAAGGCAAAAACATCTGACTCGTGCATTGCACGGGCATCTTCCCTAGTTTTAATTAATTAATATAATTGTCTAAACAAAACTTATATCTTATTAGTTTAATAAAATTTTATAAATTTTTTACCCATGTTTTTCACGGGTTGTAACCTAATATACTTATATATGAAATTGTTTGTTGTCTATTAATATAATCTCGACAAATTTAGTCATTTTTAAGCAATACAACATAACGACATCATAAATATGTTTAAATACATGATATCCTAAACCTTGTATACCCTTAAAAGCAGATGAGATTAATTGTTTTTTTTTTTTCTGAAAAGTTAGTTAATTTTATTTTTTAGATTAATAAATTTTTGCTTAAAATAAATATTTTTATTAAAAGTTGCTTTTAGATTAATAACTTTTTCTTTAAAATAAATATTTTTAAATTCGTACTCTCAAATGAATCTTTTTCTTTAATTTCAATTTATATTAAAAAAAGAAAAAACATCATAAATGGTTCCTGTGGTTTCCCCAAATCTGAACCTTAGTCTCTGTGGTTTAGAAACGTCATAGCTCGTCCCTGTGTTTTCAAAACTTTTGACGATTGGTCCTTATTGCTAACTCCGTTAAGTTTTGTTCGTTAACCGAAGGGTATTTTCATCATTTCGCTACCATAGGGACCATTTATGATGTTTTCTTTTATTTTTTTTAAATGAAATAATATACAAAGAGGGTCCCACCCTCTCTCTCTCTCTCTCTCTCTCTCTCTCTCGTATGAACACCACCATAACCCCTAAAATACTAAACATGTTCTGAATTTTGGGTTCTTGAATCGATGTATAGGAAAGGAAGGAAGAAACTTTGTGGTTGCTTATAAGGATGTGGGGATTGAGTTAATTGGTACAAACAATGAGGAAAGGAATCGTCGTCTTCATTAGGTCGATGAAGAAACAAACGAACAGAACAAAAAATCGGGAATCTCCGGTGAGGCTGAGAGATCACAAGAAAGGGCAGGCGTCGACCTCCGGCGACCCTCGTGGGTTCAATCTCCGTCTGATTGGGAGGGAGAAGTACGAACGAAATCAGCAAATGAGGTGGTCTGGTGGGGTTTAACAGATCGCGTGGAGGGAATAGCTGATCCCCGACGAGCCTTCATCTTCGCCCTGGTCATCGTCTTCATCTGATCGGAATGGAAATCGAACGGAGTGGTGAAAAGTGGTGGTCCGACGACTGAAATCGATGAAGAAGAAGATGGGTTGTTTGATTTTCCGATTGCCTTTCTCTTGTCTGTTCGTTTCCGGCTAACGCGAAAGGGGGAGAGGGAGGATTTTGGCCTTCACCTGTTTGAGAAAGAACTGGACAAAATCAGAAGTCGAGTGGGGGCGTGGGACCTCGTCTTCTTCAGATTGAAGGAGAAGAAAATGAGAGCAACGACATGGGGTGTTTGGGGGTTGAGCTTCGACGGGAAGGGATCTGTTGGAGGTTGGGAAGGAGGCAACAACCTCCTCTCTCTCATCTTCGCATTTTTCGGCGATCAGATGACCACCCACATCCGGTGGGTGAGTCTTGGCAGTCTAATGAAGAAGAAATGGGGACAACAATATCAAGTATCGGGGGTGTTCATGTGGTGTTAAACGAAGAAGAAAACAGGAGGGAAGAGAAAGAGAGAGAGAGAGAGAGAGAGAGAGAGAGAGAGAGAGAGAGGAGAGAGAGATAGAGATAGAGAGAGAGAGTGTGTGTGTGTGTGTGTGAGGGTGGGACCCTCTTTGTATATTATTTCATTTTTTTAAAAAAAATAAAAGAAAACATCATAAATGGTCCCTATGGTAGTGAAATGACGAAAATACCCTTCAATTAACAGACAAAATTTAACGGAGTTAGCAATAAGGACCAATCGTCAAAAGTTTTGAAAGCATAGGGACCAGCTATGACGTTTCTAAACCACGGGGACTAAACTTCAGATTTTAAGAAACCACAGGGACCATTTATGATGTTTTTTCTTAAAAAAAATTAAAGCTAAAAGCTCATTGGTGAACATACCACTTCATAAAATTAGAGAATTTCGTCCATAGCCTTGTAAACTTATATAATAATGTCTATATCATTATAAAATTTCAAATTACATGTATGTCATTTTAAACCCATAAACTCATATATATATATATATATATATATATATATATATATATATATATATATATATATATATATATATATATATATATATATATAAATACGAAAATAGTTAATTTAATGATAATTAATATATTTAAAAAATTAAGAACGTTGCCTTAGATTATAACTAAATTAATATAATATATATTGTATGCTTTCCTATAATCGATATTTTTATTCATCATATGTTTATTTTGACCTGATTCTTTGTTGTTTCAAAATTTACATACTCGATTAGCAAAACCTGATGATTGCACATTCCTAAGTGATTGTTAAACAATATATTTCATCTCCTACAGTCGACTTAGGAGACTTATGATTATTTTCCTACAAATAGTTTTGTTTTTTCTTTAATTCGTTAATTACATGTAAAATTATGGAAAACTAATTTCAATGTTGGTATATTTTGTAAAAATTCATAAAGTAATATGTCGAGAATGATATTGTTCAACTATTAAAAATGGTAATATTGTAACGTTATAAGTCAATTAGTTTTTTAATAATAATAAAATTAATTTAAAGATAATGTTATAAATTTTTAAATAGTTTAATTATAATTAAATTATATATATATATATATATATATATATATATTATATTATATATATATATATATATATGTTTTGTAAGGATATATATGTAATCCTCCCTTACAAGGATATATACATAATTAATTATGAAAGCGAATAAAGTTTTTCTTATGTCGTACACCAATATGACAATATCGTTAATAAATTTGACAAATTTAGAAAAACTTACGAAAACATTGAAATGATTTCAAAGTAAAAAATAATAGCTTACATCTCAATCTAATAATTCAACCGATTTTTTTTAGAATGTAAATAATCTAACTGATTAACTTACAATAAACATGATTTATTTTATTTTATTTTATGGTTAATATTAAAAAATCACCATTTTAACAATTTGTAGCATATTTTAAATTTTTTTATTTGAGTATAGAAGTATTTAACAAAAATAACTATATGATTTTGAAATATATAAAATTACAAAAAATATAAAATATAGCCCAAAAAGTTAATTGCTGTAACTTTTTTATATAAGTTCTTTATAAATATAAGTTTTAAGTTCATACTATTAAACGGAGTTTTTCATTAATTTCAGTTTTTTTTTTAAATAAAAAAAATTGTCGTATACAGGATATCTATAAACTACTTTATGGTATACCTTATTTTTGAACTTCTTGTTTGGTTAAACCATTAAATTAGTTTATAAACTATTTTTGTTATAAATTATTTAATATATTTTATTAATAATATTAAGATATATATACTCATTCTAGGCTAATATCATTTATGCTATTTTACATCTATTATCTAGCTTACTGCTGATTTTCTTGTTTTATTAAAGTTTGCGTGGCGGTTTACTGCATTCTTGATTCTAGAGCATTTTTTAACAAGTCAGAGGTTGTTTATCTTAAACATGATGGGTACCTGATATATACCATTGTTGCGGTTACTGGTTGTGGAGTTCATGTTCTCTTTTGGATGATTGAAGATTGTTCGAGCGTTAAAGACAATTTTCAATTGACATATTCAACTAGTTTGCTTCAATGCGACCATTTTACCCTTGATGGTGTTTTTGCCATTTTGTTACATTTGTTGTTGTTTCTTTTGTGGTGCATATGGCAGAATTCTTATTCGAAATGATGTTGTTCGATGCTCGTCATTTCTTATGAATTCCTTACGTTTGCTGCCATTAGGAGTTATGTTGCTTTGTGGCTCTTTTGCTATTAGGTCATGTTTTTGGTTTCCCTGGTTGCTGTTCTTTTTGGAGTTTAATCAGCTGCTTGCTTACTTGTTTTTGTTTTTGGTGTAGTTCCCTTTTAATGTTGTCTCAATTGTTTTAGAGCCCTTGCTCCTTTACTTGATGCTTTTATATAGGCTATTTTGGTTGTTTGTTCTCTTATTTTGTTGTACCTTTGCTAGCTTCCCATTAGTAATTTTTTAATTTATTTTGTTGTCGTTCAAAAAAATTTGTTATCTAAATATATGAAATATTTTTACCACATGTTATTATTTTATTAGCTATCTTATCAACCATAAACTAATTTTACAATCAAAACTAAATTTTCAAATAAAAACTAGTTTTTCAATTAAAAGTTAGCTTTTCAATTATTTTTGACATTGTTAATATAAAATTTTAATTCAAATTCTCGTTTTAAGAAAAACAACAGAGACATGAAAAATCTTTGAAGATAGACAGCGAATCACATTCCATGTTCTATCGTTAACCGGTATCCACAGTACACCACAAAACAGCTAAAACCGTAAACTCATCCAACCACCTTCAAAAGCTAGCGTGGAATACACGTACCAATATCACAAACCACTCCAAGTCATCGTGTACTACACGCGCTACAAATACGCGTGAGAGAAAATGATTATCTTTTAATTGGTCCACGTTTCACTCGCACAGCAAAATTGAGCTGCCAATCATCCGTCAGTTTCTCGAATTCCCAATTTGTCTTTTTTAGGGCAATCATTCATTCAATTCTGTGTACAACAATCGAGAAGTCAAAATCAAATTTGACCAGAAAAGAGAGACAGAGAGAGTGATCGATCTTTTGGTTCAATCGATCTCTTTCTCTTGTAGTCTCTCAAAGTCGCTATGGGTTTATGGGAAGCTTTTCTCAATTGGCTTCGAAGGTAATCATGTTTTCCTTTTCTCTCAATTAGTTCGTGTTCGAATTCGAATGTTCGCCCTTTTCAGCTCTTTATCTGTTTGTTCGGTTTTGCTTTAGGGTTTTCGATTTCATTATCATTTCATCTTCGAATTCATAAGTATGTTCGATCTGCTTCGTGTTTCTTAACGGAATGTGGGATTTACGTGTTCAATTGTAGTCCCTGATTTTTCCATTGTTACGAATTCATTGAATCTGTTTGTGTTCTTATTAGTGTATACTGATTCGCTTCAGCTTCAGTTCTTTAGTTCAATTCAATCAATTCGTCAACCAATCAGTCAGTTGAATCCCCAATTTTGATTTTTCATGGCGCCTCATATCTGTTCCTCCTCAATCTTCTAACCAAATCAACAGATTAGATCCTATTAACCAATAATCACTTCATTCATGTGTAATGCATATTTTTTTCTATACAATTGAAAAAAAAAAGCTACTTATATCTTAATTACTTAATATTATAATTTACAGCCTCTTTTTCAAGCAAGAAATGGAGCTCTCTTTAATAGGTCTCCAAAACGCTGGAAAAACATCACTTGTTAACGTTGTCGCTGTAAGTAAATTAAATTAAACCATTTATATATTTTCGCTAATTACATTAAATCATAATTCAAATAAAATAAAATAAAAAAATCTCATTCTCTTATATCCTTTTCTTGCAGACTGGTGGATATAGTGAAGATATGATCCCTACAGTAACTTTTTTTTTTTTATTCTAGACTTCATCCTACATTTAATCTAAACACACATTTTAAAACCTAAATAACATTTTAATTTTTTTTTTCAGGTGGGATTTAATATGCGAAAAGTAACTAAAGGAAATGTAACAATAAAACTATGGGATCTTGGTGGACAACCAAGATTTCGTAGTATGTGGGAGAGATATTGTCGTGCAGTTTCTGCCATTGTGTAATTAATTCTTCAATCTTTTTTTTTTTTTAAATTATGTATCCAAAAAAAAAAAAGTGACACGTGGCACATGTAGGTATGTTGTTGATGCAGCGGATCCTGATAACTTGAACATATCAAAGAGCGAACTTCATGATTTATTAAGCAAGTCGTCGTTAAATGGAATCCCTTTGCTTGTGTTGGGAAACAAGATTGATAAAGATGGTGCTTTATCTAAGCAAGCTTTGACTGATCAAATGTAAGAATTAAGAATACCATTATTTATTTATTTATTTATTTATTTGTTTGTTTTATAAATTATTGTGAATGGATTGATGCAGGGATTTGAAATCTATAACGGATAGAGAAGTATGTTGCTATATGATTTCGTGCAAGAATTCGACAAACATTGATTCGGTTATTGATTGGCTAATCAAGCATTCCAAATCCAAAACTTAAAAGTTTTATATGAGTAACAAAATAGTTCTTGTGTCTTGTTTCTTGTTCTTGAGTTGGAGTTTGATAATCTTGATATGAAAAACAAATGGAAATTTCGAGTTACTTGTGTGTTGTATGTTTTAGGTGATTGTTTTGTGAAAGTTTTCTATTGATTAATGTATAGATAATAGGAGCTTGTTAAATTTGTGGGCTATGCTTTCGTGGATCCCTATATTTTAGGGGTGTTTTGATCGGATGGATTGCAATGGTAAATGAATGGAATGGAACGATAAATGAATGGAATGAAATGATTAAGGTAATTGAAGAAACAAGGAAATGAAATGAGTTTTTAGTTATTACATTGGCAAATTGCAAGAAAGTCATTATATTACCATAAAATTTCGATTTGACACCGAGTTATTATTATTATTTTTTTGTCAATCATGTCACTATATTTACAATTTTGTTGCAATATCAACCAAATGACCAGTTATCCCTGTTTTCCCAGTAACCACTTTTCCAAAATTGTAATAAAGTCACTAAGTTTACCAAAATTTTGATTTTGACATCGAGTTTCAAATTGCAAGAAAGTCACTAAATTACCAAAAAAAAATTTGATTTTGACATTGAGTTTTTTTTCTTAATTATGTCGTTATATTTATAATTTTTGTTGCAATGCCAACCAATTGACCGATTCATGAGATATTATTGTGGTTTAGAAGCTCGATTTGTACAACAAATAAATTAATGTTGATCCAATGGTTCAAACTCACTTACAAGTCAACGAAAAGGGCGTAGTCACCATTTTAGGAGATGTTATTGTGGTTTAGAAGTTTGATTTGTACAAGTAAATGAAGACCCCCTACAAGGTCGATCTAAGACCCCTTCAAGATCAATTTGTACAACAAATAAATGAATACCCCTACAAGGTCGATTTATTTGTACAACAAATAAATGTAGACCCCAATAAATGAAGATCCCTACAAACTCGCTTCTAAACAAATTGACCAGTTACCATGAATCGAGGAGTTTGTGCATCTCCTGGACTTTTGTGAGTATAAAGCTTCAAGCTTTCCTTTTCATTTGTTAGATCTTTTGCTTAATGTCCATCTTGTGCACTTTTGGACCCATTTTGGATGTAAGCTTGGACTTATCATGAGTCCAGCTCCATTTGGTCACTTAGGATTGATGTTTGAAACTTTTAAACTTGTAAAGTTTGGACTTTTAGCCCTTCCTTCAAGTCATGCAAGTGTTGTTGTTTAGGGTTTAGTTGGTCACTTAGGGTTGCTGTTTGAAACTTTTAAACTCATAAAGTTTGGACCTTTATCCCTTCATTCAAGTCATGCAAGTGTTGGAGGTGTTTTTAGGTCTTTTGGAGTATAAAAGTCTAGATCTTGGTTGACATGGTATGTCTTAATGGATAAAGTTGGAAACTTTATCCATTTACACCTTGTTAGAGTTCGGATATAGAAGATGGGTCATGACTTAATGGATTAAGTCAAAAACCTGTAACATCCCAATTTTCATGACCAAAAATTTCATTTTTAATATAACTAAAACACATTTGTAACTTGGTTCACACATTGAAAAGCAGTTCAAATAAAACATTTATCAGAGTTCATTCCCAGAAATCACATATTGCGGAAAACATAGGTGTATGTGATGCAATCGTTCCGAGCTCCTTTATTTGAAAACCGGAGGTACCTGAAACCAAAACTGAAAACTGTAAGCACGGAGCTTAGTGAGTTCTCCAAATACCCCATACCATACATATCAACATACTGCCTATCATATCAGGGTGTTGGCCTACCCCTTCGGTCTCTTTCAACTGAATACTGTCTAGCATATAAGCACATAAATCACATACTGTCATACATAACTATGAGCCATACATATCATTCATATATCATAATCAATAAAGATGTTATGTGCCGATACATAGTCTTGATATTATGCCACGGGCCACCACATGGTCTTTCTTAACAAGCCGGGGGCCCATCCCCTGGGTCTTACAGACAAGTGCCAGGAGCCACCTTCTGGTCTTCCATGCAAGCATCACAAAGACAACTAGCATACACACTACTATACTTAGCTAATTAGCATACAGTGTGACAGGAGCCACCTCCTGGTCTTTCATACATAATGCCTAGGGCTAATCCCCGGGTCTTCCTACCATACATAAACCAAATGGGCCGACATTGGTGCCTTCGACCCATACAAACAGTGATGAGACTCACCTCAAATGCAGAAGCTCCCCGAAAGAAATCATTTGCTACTACCCCGCCGGCTTTCCGAGCTATCAATACCAGAACCAGATAAAATCTTAGTTAATAGGCCAAAACCCTCAAGTTTGGCCCAATGTCAAACTTGGTCAAAAGTCAACGGCCAACGGAAGTCAAAGTCAACAAATCAAACTTCAGGCTGAGTTTGAACCATTGAACTGACATTCATTTATTTGATGTACATATCAAGCTTCTAAACCAGAATAACATCTCATGAATTGATCAATTAGTTGACATTGCAACAAAATTGTAAATGTAATGACATAATTGAGAAAAAAACTCGGTGTCAAAATCAAAATTTGTGGTAATATGGTGACTTTTTACAATTTGTAACTCGGTGTCAGAATCAAAATTTTGATAAACTTAGTGGTTTTATTGGAATTTGGGAAAAACAGTTACCCGAAAAAAAAGGAAGAATCGGTCATTTGGTTGATATTGCAACAAAAATGTAAGTATAGTGACATAATTGAGAAAAAAATTGTCACACCCTCAAACCGGATGGCGGAAACGTCCGGGGGTGGAATGATGATCACAGTATCACAATAATTGTATACATTGAAACACAAGTACATAAACAACCATCATATCATGTGATTATATCAGTTACATGACCCAAATGTTACTTAGTATCAAAATACATTACAAAGGTTTGCATGTTATCAAATAAAGTAGTTCTAGTAATGATATTTGGTGTCTTGTCTTCAAAAGTAGCTCCACTGATCCGTGCTTAATTGTTTCCTAAGATTATATGCCGTTTGAAAAGTCAACATAAAGTTGGTGAGTTCATAAGAGTTCAATTGTAGAATAATCCGATATTTTCCGTAGATGAAAATCATATCTTCGTCTTGTAAAATTTTTTGTATTTGTACACCTTCAGCGTAAAAGAAGAATGTATTTGTGTAGTATGTATCCAAAATGTATTTTGTTTGCATGGCATGTAACCTCCCCCGAAAGTGTAAAATGAGTGAAAACTAGTAGAAAAGGGGGTATGAACTCACCTTTTGTGTTTTCCTTAGAAGATGGCAAGAAATAGTGAGAAAGATGAGGTAGGAATCAAGCTTTGGAAGACAACACCTTATTGATCTTCAAGATCTTGCCTAGGGTTTTTGGTTTCAAGAGTGAAAATGAGACAACCAAAAGATGATGGTAGGGAGAAGATAGAAATCTCAAAAATATGAAGAGAACTTACCAAAATCCTTTCTAAATACTTGCCAAAAAGCTTGGATCAACTAGAGAGTTCTTGGAGTGTTTAGAGAGTATAGAAGTGAATGTTGTAAAATGAAAGGTGGAGAGGGGAGGTAGTGACCGAGTTTTATAGGAGAAGATGGTGGTGTCTTTTGATTAAAATAATCAAGGTAAGGTTCATTGATTATTAAAATGAAGTATGGTGTTTTGAATTAAAAATCCATGGTAAGGCTTTTTCATTAAAATAATGAAGCATGGTCTTGTGAATGTCTTTTTTATTTTTTAATAAGAAGATCATGATTATGTTGAGATATGGTAGATTATGTAGGAAAAGAAGAGACATAATTTGTCTTCTTATAGTTTTTTATAAAAATCTAGCATCTTTTTATAAAAGTTGTTCATTTTTATAAAAGTATGGTGGGATTTGAGAAATTTGTAAGGTTTAATAACTAATAAAAATATTGTTATTTAAGAGTATTAACAATAATATTAACATCTTATGATTAAATTTTTTTTCTCAAATTCGTTGTATAAAATGTGAACGTTAAGCGTGATAACTTCCATTTTCTTGATGTATGATCTTTCTATGGTAATTAACCAGAGTATCAAGCTAAATACTAGATCATATGATTTTGCAACATGTTTCTGGCTTTGTGAACACGTAAACCTCGTGTCATGAATATTACCCAATACCCGACAATATTTGTGTGTTTTATCGAATTGCTACATTACCGTAGTTTATTGTTCGCAATTAAAGCGTTTATTCGATAATTTATTAAAAATAGTGCATGTGTAGTATTATAATATTTCAATAATCTACATAGGGATGTTACGAAATCACATTTCACCTTTTTGTCCTAATATACGCACAATTGACTTTTGTTGACCCTTGTTGACTTTTGTTGACCAATATTTGACGGATGTCACAAAAATAACTAAGTATCAAAATCGAAATTTTATGATAAGATAGCATCTTTCTTGAGATTTGCGCTTATTACATTGATAACTTTGGGTTGGCTTTTAGAAATGAAATGAATATTCATATGAACTTTTTGTCTATTTGTAAATAAAAAGTTTTGTTTTAAACTATTGTATATATTAATATTAATTAATTAATTAATTTATATATATATCATATATATATATATATATATATATATATATATATTAAAAAGGGACAACTCTTAGGAACAGTACCTGACCAGGGTACTGTTCATGGGGTTATCTAACCTGAGTTCTTCTACCATGCTCACCGCTTCCTGTTCTTTCTCTTTTTTTAATCTGACATTATACCGTACGTGGTTACCTCCATTTGTTTCCACCGCCGATCTAAACCAATAGAGATTTGATTGGTGTAGTCGGTGTACTCTCCCTAATGGACAACTTAGGCCTTAAGCAATCCAAGGAAGCTTCTGGAATAGGGCCCTTATGACCAAGATTTAGGTTGACACACCTTAAATCCGTCCATGTCTAGTCCACAAGGCTTCTCAGCCCAATATTCAACTATCACACATTTGACAATTTAAGTCCCCTTTATTTAATTAATGTCTTTTAGCCACAAAATTAATTCTTAATTAATTCTTGTCTAATATTAATTAAACTATATGATTTCTCCTTTAATATATTATTCATATTAATATATTAATAAACCATAAAACCTCTTTTCATAAATCATCCTATCGAGTTGCTTTGGTGAAGGCAACCCAAAAGGACCATGCACAACCGGGTCAAGTACTTACTAAATATAGTTACGGGCTTAGACACTAATCCAATAGTCTCCCACTTGGATAAGTCCAGTAGCTATAGTGTAAGCATAATCCGATTAGCAATCGTAGCTCTCAAAGACGCTGTCGAACTATGATCATATCAGTAACCTGTC